GCCACATCTTTCTTCCTAAGAAAAGCTGGAGGATTTAAACTGTCAACTTTTCAGCTAGCAGCTGATACTGTAACAGGAGCCACTAGTGGCCCTAAAATAAAGTCAGAAAAAAGAAAACGAAGAGTTGAGATCACAAGGGGAAGACGTTTGTGGCAAAACAAAAACGTAAAGAAAGAAATAGACGTGCTCGAAAGGGAGACCAGAAATGACTCAAAGGCCTTTCATTGATTTTCATTGTGTCATACAAACATAAAATTGGGAGTAAAATAGACTCGCTTTTAAAAGTGCTTGCCTACCCCCCCTCCCCACCAAAGCAAAACCCCTATCATTGAATCTAGTCTGAGTCAGAGGGACCCTTGAAAGCGTTGCTAAGACTGTAAATCGCTATGGAAGCACACAGTCTCTTCTTTCTCCATTTGGAGTGGCTGGTCGGTTTGAATTGCCAACCTTGTGGTTATCAGTCCAACACCTGACCCAAAGTGGTCTTTTCTTATGATTAAGGAAAATAAGTCCTATAGAAATATTTGGAGAAAGGAGAGAGTTTTCCCAAATCTTATGAATTATATCAAGAAGCACCAATAATAAGAGGATAAAGTTGACCTGTGCCTTCAGCTCAACTTGAACTTCTTCCTTTAATACTGCTACCTTCTGATGTGGCTGAACATGGACTGATTATTTTGGGTGTCGAGACTGTGTATTCTTTCCATCTTCTTTTGATGGTTCATGCATCAATCAATATTTTGCCCATAGAATCCTTTATTGTTTCACCTTGAGGTTTCAATTTTTTCCTCAGTTCATTTAGTTTGAGAAATGCTGAACGTGTTCTTATTTTTAAATTTTCCAACTCTTTGCACATTCATTATAATACTTGCTTTGTCTTCCTGAGCCACCCTTAAAATATTTCTGTTAAACTCTTTTCCTTCATCATTTCTTCTTTACTTTCCAGAGCCATTTTCTTTCTTTTTTTTCTAGTCATTTTATTGGGGGCTCATAGAACTCTTATCATAATCCATACATACA